AAACTAAACAGCCTACAGTATTTTTACAGTCTTTATTTTACAGTTAAAATATATGTTTATCAAATAAAGTCTAATGTTACAACTAATCAGGGATCCATTTAAATGCTTTTATTCAGATATAATGTCCCAAAATAGTGTCCACTGTCTCCTGTAAGAATCCAGCTGTCTCTGTCTGTATTTGTCGTGTAAGTGTACCTCTGTGCAGAACAATGTGGTCGATCATGCTGCTCGTGTGATTGGTGTGGTAGAGGCAGAGCGGGCAGCGCAGTTCTTTAGAGATCTCCTCAGTTGTGTTGTTGTTGTTGTTGTTGTTGTTGTGACCCGCCTCCACGTGCATGGAGAAGTTAATCCTGAGACAAATTAAAAGACAGTAAGTTAATTAGTTTCACATCGAATCTATTAGAATATTTAGAATACAGAAAAGTGCAGCAAACGTTCACGTTTGTTTCCACCCCCCGCCCCTCACTTGTTGCAGGTGAAAAAGGAGCAGTCTTTGCACTTGAAGAGCTTCTTGCCGCCGTGGCGGTCCCGGTAGTGCCGACGCAGGCTCTGCATGTATCCCGAGCTGAATTCGCAAAACTCGCACGTGAGGACGACTTCTGGACGGCCGTCGCAGCCTGTCAAACCGCCAGGTTTGGAGATGGAAGACACGTGACTGCGGGAGGCCAGCTTGTATTGACTGAGCTGCTGATATGATGGATCTGAGAGGAGACAGAAGAAAGAAAGTAGAAGAACTTTCATTACCGTGTAAAGTGAGGTGTTGGAACAGCAGTCGTGACCATATCATTCGTCTGTGTAGGTGAAAGCATCAGTTTGTTTAAATTATAATGTTTTCCTGTTTTTGATTTTAAGGCGTGTGGAGTCTGCACGTTCTCCCTGTGCACACGTGGGTTTTCTTCTGGTTTGAGCACAGAACAGAAAAAGCTAATTGAATCACAGCAGCCTCTAAATTATTTCTAAATTAGGTGAATGGTCATTTGTCTCTTTGTGACCCTGTGATGGACTTGCAACCTGTCTAGATGTAGCCCAGTCCCCCCTTGCACAGTAACAGAAACCAGCCCACGTGACCCAAAAAGTAAAAAGCAGGTAAAGAAAATGAATGTATTATTATTATGACTAATATGTGAACTGCATTCAGTTTTATCTGTACTGTAAAATAACATTTTCCTAAAGATGGTTGCTGCATCCAGCTGAGCTTAGCAAACAAAAAATGACTATAATGCAATCATATCAACATTTGTAAACTAAAGATAAATGTGATAAAAGCAGAGCACCATCCCTGGTTCATACACAGGGCGGACTCTGATGTCACAAAAGTCTTTCTAGACGTTTTATGGACTGTATAAAATATCTTCCTTTAAAGAAATACTGACAGACTAAACCAAAGGAGTGCCTCTTGCTGCTTTCTAAACGTATTCTGTTCACGCTATCGTGGGTTTTCCAGTAGATCGTTTCTGCAGATTTGTCTGCTGCACCTCCATGCTGCCAATCTCCTCCTCCACCACACCTCGAAGCTGTTCAGTCAGATTCTTGTCCGGTGACTGGGAGTGCACTGAGATCAGCGCGAGACAACCTTTGCACAAGTAGATGGCAAATCAGCAGGGTAAAGGTCACCACCAGAAGTGACGCACAGATCTGCACGTGGAGTGCTCGGATCGCTGATAGAACCCGAGAGACGCCGTGTCTGTTGGTGACGCCGATCAGAAATCTCAGTGTCACCAATCTACTAGAAGAAATTGAGATCTTTCAGAACAGTTGGGAGTTTTTTTTTCTAGTTTTGAGACTGTGCAGTTTGGGTGAGCTGGGGTTTCCTGCAGACTCAGATGTCTGTTGTGGCTGGCAGGAGTGGGGCTGACATTGTCGCCTGTTGTTGCAGGATTACGTTCAACATGGTGTGCATTCTGAGCTTTTGCTCCCTCCTGAGCAACACAACTACGAACCTGCTCCACTTTGCATCTATATTCGAAATTCTAAAGACTCAAACCATCAAACCAGGCATCAACAGTCCCGACGTGTTTTCTCCGTTTGGATGTTTGACAGAACCATTTACTAAAACTTCCAAAATGTATTTTTATTGGTTCCAATACGTGATTGTGATAATACAGTATATGTAATAAAAAAAACTCCTTCCCTCCTCGCTTGCAGAAGCGTAGCTGTGGCTGTCATCATTTGTCCCCTCCCTCCCCTCGTCATCCCCTCTCTCATGAGTCTGTGATATCAGTGATGGAGCTCATATTCTCGCCCTACTTTCAGCCTCCAACACATCAATAAATAAACCAGAGTGACACTAATAGAATATGTATCCATGTGAAAAATGCTTCTGTCAGCACTTGGAGTTGGTGGAATTGTGCAAAAAAAAAAAAAAAAAAAAAAAACTCAAACTTGTCATTTTTGAAATTCTTGTGATTATTTTTTTGGAAGAACGGGCTGAAAAATGTGCATGACCCAAACAATGCCTCAGCTGATTCATGCTTTTAATATCCTCTACTTTGTGGGGCTATATGAAGATGAGAGAGTAGATAAAGTAAGTTCTGTAGTGCAGTGATGATATTTCTGCTCAAAACTGCTGAGTGCACTGCACGAAGGAGAAGAAGAAGGGACACTAGTATTAGAAGCTGAAAAACAGGAGTGAAACAGCGTGCGATGGATCGCTGTCTGAGTGCTTGTCAACTGGTGGCCCCTGGGCCATTTCCGGACCACAAGCTCATTCCATCAGGTTGTAAATTATTTAAATTGCAAAAAAACAAGCCACGACAGAAATTAGATGCAGCCCTGCTCAGAAAAGAACATCTCAGTCTACTTTTAATGTAGAACCATGGAGTGACTGGTTTGTGTTTGAAAGCTCCAACAATCCTTGATAAACTAGTCAATGCTTGATTTATTTATGTCACAAAGTTAGGATTAGGGATAGGAAAAATTATTTTGTAAAATTGCAACTAATCATCAGTAAAACTGTCAACAATTAATATTTGCCACTACCGAGATTAGTGTCATGTGATGACGTGTTTTTGTGTATGACAATATCACTATCAGGTGTGCATGTCAGCCCAATGTAGAAAGGTGGCCTGGAGCGGCTAACGCTAACCCTACGAACTTGTTTAATCACATGCAACACTGGTGTCAACCATAGCAGCAGGAAAGCCAGGAAATGTGGACCAAATACAAGTGTCATCTATTAACCCTCCTATCAATCCTTACAGGCTAAATCTCACAATTAATCATGATAAATTTTTATGTCGATATTGCCCAACCCTAATTAAGATGTCTACAAAACGTTTACTTTAAAAATGACATCTCTGACGAGTTTAGATGTGATTTAAACTTTTCAATAAAAAAATGTTCCCCTGGTTTTCTACTTTCAAACTTTCATGTTTGTTCAGTTTCCTAAATTTATGTCACATTATCTTGATGAGCATCTATCATAAATTGTTTTCGATATTCAGCATTTAGGTCTTTTGATTCAGTTAAACTAAATCCTTAACAAAAACTATGGCAAATGGCATCTATTTAAAGGGGCAATATCATGTAAAATCAACTTTTTTGAGTTTTATATTATGTTACAATGTTATACTCTCATAAAAAACATGTCCAAAGCCTTGCTCTGACTCATTCATTTGTGTCTGAGAAATCCTGCAGCATTTTTAGTCAGCCATGCTGAGGAGCAAAACGACAGGTGGGGACCAGAAACGACTTTTGTGACCAGAAACGCCTCCGGGCTGTGTCTCCAGGCCGAGCTTCCTCATCACGGAGCACACCTCCCCACCCCCCACCCCACACACCCCGCCCACGACTCCTGCAGGCTCTCGGCAGGAACAAAGCAAACGAGTGAAAGTGAAACTGTCTGCTGAGCTCTTAACACTACTTCTCACTCAGTGAAGCTCTTTTCAGATTCAAAATACCTTTGAGGAAATGTATTTTCACATGTCGAATAAACTGCATCATAGCGCGAAACTCCCCGCGCACCACCGAAATGGACAGGACAGAAGCGGAAGCTGGTTCTTAAAGAGACAGAGGCCAATTTCAAGGCGTTTAGAAGAGGAAGTGATGATTAGAGAAGTTTATTTTCTATTTAAACATAAACCAGCATTTTAATAATAACTAAATATGACATAAATACTTTATTATGGTATAGTATTTAAATATATGCCTGAGAAACACATAATATTGTCCCTTTAAGACAGCAGAAATTAAAATAAACTAGCAAATGTCAATATTTACTGCCCTCTACACTGATTGATAAGCTCCGTTCCTGTAGCTAATTTTGGTGATGACCTCTGCTTTAGTGTAAAGTGACAGATTGACGATAGGGTGAACTTGGGTTTAAATGTCTCAGGTGTTATCATTATTAGCATTTCCAGGAAGTAAACTAAAAGGTAGGGTAATCGTCACTAACAAGAAAAAAAAAAAGCTTCTGACTGAGTTTTAGGTGTTTAGCTGAAGGTCCAACAACAGAGAGACCTTCCATCTGTCAGCTCCACTCTCTCTCAAAGCTTCATTTGTCTCGGCTGTGCACAGCTGACAAGAGGTGGATGGTTCACTGAGGAACGCTGCCCTGCTCCAGCTCCAGCTCCAGCTCCAGGGAAGATTCCACAGCTCCAGCAGCAAGGTGACAGCTGCTGCCAAAAGGAGTCTGCAAGTTAAAGCAGCAAACACCCCAAAAACACCTAAAACATGGCACCGTGTCAGCTAACAGCAGAAGAAGTGTCGGAGTCTGCACCAATGTCTTAGGAGTTCATATCTGGACAGCTAATATTAAATAAAAGATCACATTTATTTTCAGTACAAATGTGGGTATTAGTTTTCTATTACACACACACTAAGTGGTTTTGAAAGGAAACGGATAGGTAAAGATGTATCGTTTTAACATTAGGTAAGTATCAAGTTTCATTTAGTCGCAGATTCAAAAAAAGTTTAAGGAAATGTTTTAAAACACACCGTAGGTGTGTACACGTTTGTAGCAAAAACTATTACATATTTTGTTTCAAAACCAATAAGAAATTAATCCTTTTTTTCCTAAAAAACAACAGTGAGTACCAAAGTTTTGTTTTATACTTGTGAAATCTAATATATTTCCTCAGAATGTCCTGATGCATCTCAGTAATCCAGGTAAAAAATCAAAAAGAAAAAAAATTGTATAGGTTTTCTGGACGGGTTCTTCTCTAATGAAACGTTTCGTCTCTCCTCCAAGAGACTTCTTCAGTCTGAGAGTTTCAGGCAAAATTCAGGCTTTTAAGCCCTGCCCACCACCCACTGGAACACAAGTTAGGAGTGATCAGGACTCTGTACTAGAGCTGGGCGATATGATCAAAATTTTATATCACGGTATTTTCAACATTTTCACCGGTTTCATGG